GCTCAGAGCCCCCCTCCAGAATGAGTTAAAGTGGCGGTGGGAGGTGATGCGACCTTAATTGTGGCCCGGAATGGGGGAAAGGGGGGCGGCTGTGAGCTCAGAGCTTCTCCAGATTGAGCTATAGGGACCCCAGGAGGGACAGCGAGAGCCCTGATCTGCCTCCAGAATGGATGTAGGGGTTCGAAGGGACGCTGTGCCCTCGGATCGCCCCCCCAAAACCTGGCTTATGGGGTCACCGGGTGCTGTGCTGCCCAGTTATTCCACAAAATGAGTTGTTGGGTTTCTTGGCGGGACACCGAGGCCCAAAACCCGTCCCCAGGATGGATGATAGGGGCTCCAGGGCGGACACAGACCGTAGATCCCTCTCAAATCGGGTTGAAGGGACCCCAGGATTGGTGCTCTGACCCCTAAATGAGTTACAGGGACACCGGCATGGATGCTGTGACCCCCAAACCCTCCCAGATCAGTTTATAGGAACCCCGGGAGGGACACTGCGGCCTTAAGTCCTCCTATGTGAGCTATGGCAGCGCCAGGGTTTGGACTGTGACCCCAAATCCACACCTAAACTATGGGGGAACCGAGGAAGGGGCTGGGACCCCAAATCTATGCCAGAAAGGGTTACAGGAAACCTGGGATAGACCCTCAAAAATGGGTTGCAAGAGCTCAATGAAGGAGAATGTAAGGCCAGGTTTACCCCCTGCCCACTTCCCCCTTTTCTCCCAGCTGGCTCATAGGGGCCCCAGGAGGGACAGAGACCCCAAACCCCTCTATAAAATGGGAAACGTGAATTGTTGGGGTCCCGGGAGGAGGGGGAAGGGGGGGGGGGGGGGGGGGGGGAAGGGGTGGCCCAAATGCTGCTTGCTGTGCCCGACTGCCTGCTTCCCTCCTTTCTCCCAGCTGGATCATAGAGGCCTCAGGAGGGACATTGAGATCCCAAACCCCTCTATAAAATGGGAAATGTGAATTGTTGGGTCCTGGAAGGGGGCAAAAGGGGTGGGGGGGGGAAGGAAGTGTCCCAAACGGTGCCTGCTGTGCCTGACCCCCATCCCTTCCCCCCCGCAGGGCGAGGAGTTCTACCTGGTGAAATGGCGCGGTTACCCCGGCAGCGCCAACAGCTGGGAGCCCCGCAAGAACCTGCGCTGCCGAGGGCTGCTGAAACAGCTGCACCAGGACCTGGCGCGAGCGCCGGGGGGACCGGTGAGACCCGGCCCTCGAGGTTTGCCCTCCCGCGCCTCCTCGTACCTGGTGCAGAAAGCGGAGCAGCGGCAGGCGCTGCGGCGTTGGGAGCAGCACCTCAACAACACGCGCAGCCACCGCGGCCGCATCGCCGTGGAAAACGAGGTGGACTTGCACGGCCCCCCCCGGGACTTCGTCTACATCAACGAGTACAAAGTGGGGGCCGGCGTCCAGCTGACGCCCGTGGCCGTGGGCTGCGAATGCAGCGATTGCTTGGCAGAGGCGGCGGGCGGCTGCTGCCCCGGAGCGTCGCACAATAAGTTTGCTTACAACGAATCGGGCCAGGTGCGAATCCGGGCCGGGCTGCCCATCTACGAGTGCAACTCGAGGTGCCGCTGCGGCTCCGACTGCCCCAACCGCGTGGTGCAGAAGGGGATCCGCTACGATCTCTGCATCTTCCGCACCGGCAATGGACGCGGCTGGGGCGTGCGCACCTTGGAGCGCATCCGCAAGAACAGCTTCGTGATGGAGTACGTGGGGGAGGTGAGCGCGGGGCGGAGGGGGGATGGGGGGCGGCGGGGGCTGAGCTGCGTTCAGGGGCACCCCCAGGGCCACCCAACTGCAACCCCCCTGCATGCAGGGCTGCCATCCTGCATGTTGAACAGCAGCGCAGGGCTCCATGCAGCCTGGCCTGGAGCACCTCTAGGGATGGATGCAGCATCACAGCTTCACGCCGCTCTCACGGCACACAGCTTCCCCCTGACATCCAACCTCCATCTGCCCTCCTTCAGCTTCCAACCTCGTCCTGCTGCCATCTCCCCTCCTGCCTGCAGGCTCCCCTTAGGCACTGCAGGCTGCACTGAGCTCAGCCCACAGCCCAAGCGTGGAATGGGGTTGGACCCCCAGGGCCACCCAACTCCAACCCCCCTGCATGCAGGGCTGCCATCCTGCATGTTGAACCCAGTGCAGGGCTCCATGCAGCCTGGCCTGGAGCACCTCTAGGGATGGATGCAGCATCACAGCCTCTCTGGCAGCTCTTGCAGCTCTCATGGTACAGAACTTCCCCCTGACATCCAACCTCCACCTGCCCTCCTTCAGCTTCCAACCTCGTCCTGCTCTCATCCCCCCTTGCACAGAGCTGACTCCTGCCTGCAGGCTCCCTTCAGGCACCGCAGGCTGCACTGAGCTCAGCCCACAGCCTTCTTTTCGAGCCCAGCTCCCTCAGCCTGGCTTTGCAGAGGTGCTGCATCCCTCTGGTATCTTTGTGGCCTCCTCTGGAGCCCTCTGTGTTACACTGGGGCCCCCAGGCCCTGGTTGCAGCGCTGCAGATGGGGCCTCGCACGAGCAGAGCCATGAGGGACGATCGCCTCCCTGTCGCTGCCGATGGAGCCCAGGATCCCGTTTGCTTTCCGAGCCGCTGGCTCACATTCAGTTGTTCACACATCAGGAGCCCCAGGTCCACTGCTGTGCAGGGCTGCTCCTCACAGTCTGTATTGGTGCCTGGGGTTCACCGCTGGTTGATGGTGGCGATGTGGTGATGGCAATGTGGTACTGATGGTGATGGTGATGTGGTGGTGATGGTGATGTGGTGGTGATGGTGATGTGGTGGTGATGGTGATGTTGTGGTGATGGTGATGTGGTGGTGATGGTGATGGTGATGTTGTGGTGATGGTGATGTTGTGGTGATGGTGATGTTGTGGTGATGTTGTGGTGATGGTGATGTTGTGGTGATG